TTTTTAACTTAAAAATTTTAATATTTATTTTAGTGCTCGTTTTAAAAGCAGATTTAGTGTTTGCTTTCCAGAAAAATAGGGGGCATAGGATGAGAGAGAGAGAGAGAATGTTTGCAAAGTATTAATAACAAGTATAGAGTTAAACATAAAATGTATTTTTAAAGTAAATTTATTTAAGAAAATTACAAAAAAGTTTATAACAAAATCTCAACTTCTTTACAAAATACACTTAAAGAAATTGTAGACATTTATAATATGCAGTTTATTATTAACCAGGGAAAATCTAGACTGTTATTCTTTATATACTGTAACATTTAAACACATTTCTAAAATTATATTTTATTTTTGTAAGATTTTATTGGATTAAAATCATAAAATTACGTTAGTTTCACCTAAATTATTGATCGCAATTTACCTTAATAAATCCAATTCCATCGCAATATGGGATAATTTATTAAAAACAACATTTATTTATTAATGCCATAAGTGAATTCGTTTAATAACTCAAAATCTAGTTAAAAATTTATTTCACTCAATATATCACAACATTGTGTATATTATAAATAATGAAATTTATATGAGTTTTTTGCTGTACACCAAAAATGGGTCCAATAATCGACGGAAAAGAGAAATTAATTTATTGCCATAAAATTCATGCGAAGCGCCAATTATTCAAATGAATCGCATGTCAATCCACTATATAATATGTGTAGTACACTATACGGCAATATAATGTACTCTATATATACTGTATACCTGTCATTAATTAGACATTATAGACGTGTGCTCTCAAGTGTTTTTCAACTTCACTATCAAATTGTATGTATGGATGGAAAGTGAAGTACGAAACATACAGCACAACAACTGCTCCGCAAACCAGTGCTCACTATCCGTATGTGATGTGAGTGTGTGTTGTATACCATTATATAAAATATTGATATTACATCCAAATGTATAGTTAGACTGACTGAGGGACTCATATACTCAATGGATGTATGTTTTGTGTACTGCCAGTCCCTAAACGCACACGTATTTATCTAAAAACAGCAAAAATTATTATCAAACACAGAAAAATAGCAAAAATATCGCTCAAAGAATACAACAATAATAATACTGTAATACTATGTATTGTATTTGGGAGAGCGAGAGAGAGAGAGAGAGAGAGAGAGAGAGAGAGTGCTAAATGTATTTTATTATACAATATACTTTTTGGTGAAAAGCAGTTTTGAGTGACACATTCATACGAGAGGTTTTTAAATAATATATTATTTTTAAAGTATAAATAAATCATTTTCTACTCCTTTTCTGGAGGAAAGCAAACACAAAACGAAAGGGGAAAATATGTAAAACTATCTCTTAATGCAATGAACGCAACGGTTATCACAAAAGATATGCAAAAATAAAAATTATTGATTTGCGAGATTTTTTTCTCCGCTAATATATTAAAAATTTTGGCGTTCAATCATTTTTGGACAATCTTTTAGTGACAAATCCGATATTAAATTACACGCGATATCGATGTCCACAATAAGCGGTTTGATTGATGAACTCATTATCTGATTTAAGCATTCAATGTTTACATACCCGACATGTCATACACTATCCCCCCATCGGTTGGGCGGCTGTTATTTCCGTTGAATTTAAATATAAGTTTAAACCGTATTTTATAACAAAATATAATGAGTAAATGGGATGAGAGAGAGAGAGAGAGAGAGAGAGAGAGAGAATGCTATTGTATTTATTGATTTTTTCCAAAGAAAATAAATCCTATACTTATATACAGTACTAAATACCTACCAATGAATAACAGTATTCTCAAAACATTGTATTATTTAATATTATATATTACAATAATATTAGCATTAAATAATTCATCAATACTTGGCATCAAATATACACCTGATTTGCATAGTTTAATAAATACCACACTTTTTATGGTAACAAAAAAGTTTCATTTGAAACACTTTTCTATCATATGTATTAACATAACTGAATAGCGAAATATGTTTGCATAAAATTTGAAGCCTTTCCCACATCTCCAACACGACTCGTAATAACATTTATTATACAAATTTGCAATAAAAACAAACATTTTGGTTAATTATGTTCATTAATATTACAAAACAAACGCATTGTATTGTTTGATACCCCGGGAGTCGTTCCGCTACTTTGAGCCCTTATATTAAATTATTTACTTTAATGAATACCTATTCATATAATCACTTCATTTTGAATACAAACTCTTATTTTTGAGGATTATATTTAATCAAATAATTACCATATTTTTCTGGAAAGCAAACACTAAATCTGCTTTTAAAACGAGCACTAAAATAAATATTAAAATTTTTAAGTTAAAAAAACAGATAATCATTATTAAAATCTCTCTCTCTCTCTCTCTCTAATTGTGGATTAAAGTCACATATCATTAAAATCACGAGATTTTTGTTTAAGAAAACACTTTTTTATGGTAAAAATAATACATCACAAAAAATTTTGTATTTTATTTGAATGAATTCAATGTTTTCTTATGTAAATTACATTTCTTTCACTGTTTATTTGAAAGTCACTTAATTTAATCAGTATATTAAGCAGTATATTAAGCGATAGTAAAATTTATAACACATATATAACTGTAGATAAGGTGTTAAATGTGGTGTGAATTTGATTATTAAATAAGTTTTGTATTTAATTGATATTACGTTACAAAGCCCTGTACTCATTGACACCATATTGAAAATACTAAAGTTATGTTTTGTCACAAAACTTTTGTGTACCCAATATATGCATGGTTTACGTGATATTTATTATGTACATCAAAACGGTGTTTGATTGTATCGGTAGTTTTCGCACACATTCATGCATTTTAATGCTATCCAAACGATAAGACATTATAAGTTTATTTTATTATATCAAATAACAAAATATTGTTGACCTAGGCAAAAATTTAAAATTCATAAATTAGCATAAAGGTCGGTGGGAAAAGTGATAAAACAGCTATATCCATACAGAAGCAATACATTTTGGTACTATGCTAGGTAACATTTGCGGGGCAGGGGTGGGGTAGAGATACGGGGGTCACATAGTTAGCACACAAATTTTAAAAAATAATTTTTATAAAAATTTCACACATAATTTAATACAAAAATACTAATTATCACTTTCTATTCTATTTGAACAAGGACGTAATGGCCAAAAACAAGACGGTGAACTATGTAACGGAAACTATCTACTGATGAACACCGGCAACGATTTCCAAGCGCTGGCCAACTGTAGCCGCGTAACCGGTTTTGTGGCCATCATGAAAATGAACGCCGCGGGCGGCCCACCCCTGGACACAGTGTCGTTGCCCAAACTCATCGAGATCAGCGACTATCTACTCATCTACGACATCGCGCACGTGCGCCACCTGACCAACTGGTTCCCGAACCTGTCGGCCATTCGCGGCCGTAAGCTATTCTACGGCTACGCTCTGGTGATCTACCACTTGCCCAGCGTCCGGCACCTGGGCTTTCCCAGTCTGGGCCACATTAAGGGTGGCGTACGCGTCGAGAGAGTGCCCCAACTCTGCATTAGCCGCGAGTCCAACGACTATAGGCTTTTGGCCAAAGCCATGGCCAGTAAGTATTGCATTGTGTACAACGATAGACACTATTAGGCCATTTGACTATTGCATAGCCCTTTTATATTATGCGCTACTGTAAAGTACATGGTATAGGTTCAGAAAGTTATCTACAGTATATACTTATGAATATTACATTACAATTAGGCTAATGTGTGTTTTAAACACAACAGAGCACTCGACGGAACCGTCACAATCGGTGCCACCGTATACTGTGCCCAACAAACCGGCGCTCGACGGCCTGCGGGTGACCACTGCCAGTGCGGACAACATACTGTTGGAGTGGCCGAACGGGACGGCCGGCGCCAATGGCACCTATCGGGTGGACGTGCGCCAGATTTTTGATTACGGCCGCGATATGAACGATGCGATTGTCGACAAACGGAGCTGTCATATGAACGGCGCGCCCAATGTGTTGAATCTGGACGAGCAGCGCAAGTGTCGCCTACGGGCCGACAAAAGTGGCCAATGGCTGGTGTTTTACTACATGGGCCACGACCCACACCTCGACGGGTTCGGCACTCTTATCACTAAATATAATTTTGTTCAACAATTGTCCCGCGATATCAATAAGTAAGTGCCCGTTGGGTTGGGAATCGGGTGTATATGAATGTGATGTGTATTTATATACAGAATTTTAGTCCTAGTTTTTTTTGGTTACCAGAATATTCTGTTGATTTTTATTAATTTGTTTTTTTGTGTGTAATGTTTTTGATANTTTAATAATGACTTGTGTTGAATGGAAACGACTTGTGAGCGCACAGATGACTGACTTTCGCCTATTTGTACTGTCAGTATAAGGAATATTCCGGTGCTCTTAATGTGTGCACCAAATTCTGTGCTCTCTCTCTCTCTCTCTCTCTCCATTCTCTATCCATAATATGCTATACAAACATAAATATATATAAATTCTTTGTATATCTCTATCCATCTCTGGCTCAATGATAAATATCCGGAACCATTATCTAACATATGAAATGAACGATAATATACCGGTACATGCATTTGACATACATTTTACTTTTATTTATGATTGACTTATGTATGCAATTGATATATCGGTTAAAGCATACAATGAATAGTCAAACAAATAAATTGATTGTATAAATACAAAAAACAAACTATTTATTCATCATTTCTTGAGACACAACACAAACCGAAAGGTTATTCTCCATGTATTAGTGTATTTGCCAGCAGTTTATTTGCTGACATTAAATCCCATATAATCTTCACTGTTATTTAATATGAGTTACGGATTAGTATTAAAACTTTTAGACTACTGGTGAGAGCGATGGTTGACTATAAATGCAATAGTAATGTGTATATCAGTATTGAATAAGAGATAGTAATAGGGATTAACTGAAGGATAAGGATATGTACAGAATTTGCTTAATTGAATGCAATCGATAAATCCGGTGCTGACTTGTGGTATGAAATCAAATGGAAAAATAAATATATTTATTATTGTTTATCTATTATTATTGTGTTTGTAATGTCTATAACGCCGAGAAAACTAATAACTAAATGATGAGTGAAATGATTTGCGAAATTTTTCAGATAACATAACTTTGAATGAGTTATTTATCGATATTAATCTTTTGGCATATATTTCATCAATGGATTCAATGATTTATGGATGAAAATAAATGGGATTGAAATATATGAATGAAATTTTCCCCTTTATTTCGCTGTCTTTATATTTTGTTGTTGTTTTTCTCATGACTTCTATCACTCTCTCTATTTTCTGTTGAGAAAATTGATTATTTTGTAAATCAATAAAATAAATGAAAATAATTTATTAATATATTCTATGGGAACTAAAACTTTATTTTTCTCTGTAATCAAGTGTTTGTTAAACATAAGTAAGAAATAGTAATTGCTTTCTGTATTAAGATATTCTCAAAATATCACAAATATATTATAAAATATATCAATCAATTAAATTTCATATAATATTTAACAACATTTGCTATGATATTCTGTGGGATACTAAATATGGTCATCAAATTAATTGGATATTTTCCTAAGGATTCCGGCAATTAATGAACGTCTGATATATTTCGCGAAATTATGATTTAAAATCAATAAAACATTTTTCAGTGACTAAAACTATAACTCGGAAAATCATTTTGTAGTTTTACACTCAATTAATGTCTGGGAATGTAATGTAAAACTGTTTTATATTCACATAATTAAAGCAATTAGTTATGATCCGAAAACAATTTCACTTTTTTTTATATTCACTATCCGTGTAATATAAAACAACATGAAAAGTAGATATAATTAAATTAAATTATTATAATTATTAATACACTAATTAAATTCGTGACTCTGTTATAGTAATCCCTATGCAATACCATTGAAATCAATTCGTCTCGCAATGCATTAGACGTACAAAATTTTTGTATACAATAAAACTCTTTATCACTTAAATTATTATGTAATTTGAATATAATTTTTGAGAAATAAATTCTAGCGAAAAGTGTAATAAAATATAAATTGATTTTTACAAAATACATACAGATATAGCGCTCGGTTTGCATACAAACTATATAATCATATATTGATTTATCGCAAGTCTTTTTATTTAATATTTGTATATTTCTATTAAAACTCAAATAAAGGCTAAAAGTCTTTAATCAAATAAAATTGTGCTAAAAATACAGACAGAAAATATCTAATAATAGACAAAAATATTTATTAAACACAACAAAATTGAATTTAAAACACTTAAATGAATGCAAAATATTCAGACATACTTAACATGATAAACATGATCAATTCAAGTATTGTCGACACTAGCACTCACTAAACGTCGGGACAATTTAGTTAATTAATTCAATAAAAGTCAATCAATTGAAATGACATTAATTTGTCAAATATTGTTAATATTGTTTCGACTCAAACAAACAGGAAGTAATGATTTTAGTTAGGGATCCGACGCTTTAATACAATTAATAAATACATTAATATAATTGTCATCTCTTGTAATCACTGGCGAAAAGACATTGAATTTTCTAATATTAATCATAACTCTGTTACCGATCTATACATTCATGCAATTCATATCAAATTTAATTAATATAAAACTCGAGTTGAGAGACGAGCAAAACATAGAAAAAAATGTAAAACTAATTAAGAATTGCATTCTCTATACACAACATGTAATATATTATTTGCTTTATTATTATAAACAACAATTTTATGCAAACATTGGTTTCACTAATTATATATCTTTACATATATAATAATATGTAAAACAACAACAAGAAAAAAGAAAAAAAAGTTGAGTAAAGTTTTAGCAAATATTAAATCAAAAACTCATTATATTTTTTCCTTCCACTCTCTATATTAAAGAGGAATATATTAAACAAATGATTCATTTTTCCAATAAATTTCTTGATTTATATTTTATACGTAAAGAAATAACAATATCCTAAAAATATCATAAAGAAAATATTATACTTAATTCTCTCTCTCTCTCTCTCTCTCTCTCTCTCTCTCTCTCT